AATAATATGTATGTGGATGAAATACCCACAAAACTATCCTCATTAGAAAAACTAGAACAAATACAAATAGCTCAACGAATAGTATTTGAGAAGATTGTGGTCATGCATAAAGGAAAACAGAGAAAAATTAAGGGTGCAATATGCAATGTACCTGTAGAATGTGATCAGACATGTAATCAACTCCCTCATCCACCTGATCGATCTTGTATAATAATACTTAAGCTTAAGGGAAAGTTACAATCTAGAGAAGTTTATTTTCAAGCATCACGACCAGAGTTAATACAGCAAGTTCTTAACTGGCTCAAAGTACATAATCCATTGTACAATTTGTAGATATACTAGCTGATATTAACAATATTGATAGCAACCTCACAACTTTGCAAAATGATGCAGACGATAATGGTACACATCAACAAGCTACATCAAACAATGTCACAACAGATAGTGATCCTGCTTTGGAATTTGATGCAAGAGAAAATGATAAATTAACTAGTAATGAAGAAGAAAATGATGACCCCTTAAATTAATATAGAGCCCCAGTATGCGAGACATGCTTAAAGAGTCAATTATACCAAACTATCCAGTGGTGAATGCTCAAGTAAAACGCTCGATACGAAGCCCAAGTGAACGCTCCTCGAGCGTCTAGTTCTAATTCAACTGTCCTTCATCCAATGATCCAGAAAATAGATTTACCATACTACACTCGCGATTTGCTAATTTGCTTTTACTTAGGAAAGAAGATTTACAACACAATTGAGTATACAATAGTAACGCTGTAACACAACAAGAGGCCTTTTCTCGGTCATAATCGGTCTCAAACACTAGCACTTAAAATGCGAGAAACACATGTGCCGTTGGAGAGCGTTTGGTCAGAGCTGTTGAAGAAGGATCAAAGCGGCCATCCAAATCTATGAAAGGCTCCAAATTTGACCTTCTCGAAAACTGGTCTCAAATTACATACTAAAAAAACAGTGATTGCGTTTGTCCTTGAGAACCATAGAATACGCGACAAATACGTACAAAAAATACTTTTATACATTCACGATAAATAAAATTATATTTACCAACGGTGAAAGGAAGAAGGAACGGCCTAACTTCTACGGAATGTTCAGTCAAAATGTGCCGATTTCTAACGCTTTCATCGCCATATTGGAAATTGAGTTACCACAATGCAACGCAATCGGAGTGCGCACACCGCCTGCGATGCCTCAGTCAGAAAAATCAAAGCGAAAGAATTGACGCTTCGTCGAAATTAAAAATGTATTGTTGTTGTCGCAAAATGTTGCTCCTTTTCCGTCAGTATTTTCCGGCTGTCGGTTCAGCGGAACAAGATTGTCGCTACATTTTTAAAAATGTCGCTGTTGCTAAAAGTCGCACCTTTTCTGTCAGTTTTTTTCGGCGGTTGGTTCATCGTTTCATCGGAACAAGATTGTCACCACATTTTTTTAGCAATGTCGCTTGTCCCCAATACCTCTTAGAAGGCCTCAACAAACGGCACAAACTGTTGCTACTGCTCGCGTGGAATAATATAATGACTAATTTGCAAACAATAATAAGCTTGAGTTCCATATTTACAAGAACCTCTACACACTCGCCAACTGCTTTACTCCGTGCTGTATAAACACCCCTTATTGCTACAATACAATGAAGGATTTGTGAAGTTTTTAGGTACTTATTGATTATGTTTTTACTGATATCTCAAGTATTACTGTGGAACTTTCCACTGAGTAATTGTTACAGATTTTTCTTCGGCGGCCGCAGCGTTTTAAGAGTTTTGAGTTGCAGTGGTTGAGAACTCTTCCGTCTGTTAAGTTTACTGCCAGTGACTTACGATTTGTCTTGCACAGGGGTCGCAGTCAGAGAGAATTCACCTTCTGAATTCTTAAAAGAATCCTTAAGATTTTTTTTGTCGATTTCGGTGGGCTGATATTCTGTGGTGACTAAAGTATCAAGAATTGAACGATTCTTTTCTTCGGCTAAATAAAGCGCTCGCATTTTTTCTCTGACTTCCCTAACCTTTTCTTTTAATTCTTTTGGTTTAGTATAGTCCTTACTTTCAAAAGCTTTTCTAAGTTGCTCCTTGATGTAACCTTGAAAAATCCAAAAAAAGCATTTTGCAATTTCAGGTGTTTTTTCCACGATAGACTCCATAAATTCGTCGAAGCTGTGGTTCTCATCTTCGCCCTCATTGTCTTGATAGCCTTCTGCCTCGCTTTCAGAATCTTTCGACACCTCGCCCTTGCTCAGTACTTTTTTCAGATCATTCATCGCTCCTCTCCCATTCATGGCTAGATTTGTAAACTCTGTCTCGGTAGTCATTTTCTTAAAAGTTGATAAATAAAACTTCAGATTAGCACTTGTCTCCATCTCCAGCCGGGTTACCATTATTGCCTGATCTATGGCTCCGTCTTGTTTTTTGACAACCATCTTCTCAAGATTATTTAGAGACTCTTTCAATTTTTTATAACTATCGCACAGCTCTTTTACTCCTTTGGGCAATTAGGTTAAAGCCAACTTTGGATCCTTCCGTGAATCCGTCCTTGAATCCGTCCCTGATGCCATTTGGTTCAGTTTTCTCGGGTTTAGGCAAAGTAGACAACCCTAACAATACGCTAGCAATGCGGAAAACAGAGTATGTTAACTATGCAGATCAGTTTGTCGGTTTTTCCTGAGATTACTTGCTTCAACAGCTAATTGAAACTGTTGGGTTTTGGACAAAAAAGATCACCAAAGCTAATGATGAGAAATCACATAAGGAAGCCCGAATCAAAAAATTTTTTGATTGGGATGATTACTTCACGAACACTTTCCACGCTAAATCAGTCACTCCCCTACCCCCACCCCTCTCCTTGTCATTGACTGTCGACCGCCCCCTTGGCAGAACTTTCTTTCTCTTCCCAGCCTTCCGCTGCCATTAAAATCAAAGATGGCGGCCATAATTCTCGGTAAGACAATATGAACACTAGCTCGCCAAAATTACGCCTGCTCTACAGGCTATTACAGACCTAAAAGGATTTCATTTACCGGGGCTAAACTTCAGAATACCCCGCAACTCTGGTCCGCCTCACTTACATGTGTCGGGAGGCTTTGAAGATCGAGGCATAACACAATAGACGCTATTCTTATTCAATGACATGTAAATGAGTTGCGGGGTATTCTGAAGTTGCTCCTTTACCGGTACCCGTACCCCTGGAAAAAACACTACGTAATTACTTTCTGTTTAATTTCGACCCAGCAGTCACTGTTAAAGGCTCTCAGTGCAAAGCGAAAAGATTATTATCAAATTCCAATCATAAATCTTGTTATTTTAATGAGTGTTTGCGTCTGTATTACACTTTTCACAACGTAATATATTTCGGATAAGAAATTACCTTTGCTTTGGTTTATGTTTTCAACACCTTCATCACATCACGTCTTTCGAAGGAAATCGGCATGATCTTCTGTCACCGACACATGACTTTGCTTTGGTTTTATCAACACAGCGGTCAAATGATTGCACATGCGCACTATGATAGAAAATTTGTTATCGTAAACATGGAGAATCGATGTGGGACTTTTCTCGCAGTTTCTAAGGAAAGTTCGAAGTTTCTGAGGCCGAAACTTTTACATATTGTTTTTCTGGACTTGACCCACTACGTGTAAGTTTACACTCGTGTAATTTTTTTACACTTTGCACGGTGGGGTGATGAAGCCATCCATAAAGTTGGCCGTGCTGGCTGTAGTTATTCTTTGTTGTGTTCATGGTAAAGTTGCCGGTAAAAATCGAGGGAAATGTGTGGAAAAAGGAAGAACCAGAGCCACACAAGATATTCGTGACGATCACAGGTCTATGTTTATGGCGGACAGTGGAGTGTAGAACAAGAGAAGAGGAAAGGTTCGGTCCTTTTCCTTATCAACAAAGCGAAGCGTCCGCGTTAAAAGCAGTTGGGATATCTCGCAATAAAATAAAGGCAAGATTTAATCTTTCTACAAAATCCTTTTTCCTTTGTCTTACGCATTGAAACTGTTAGGAATTTAATCTTCTTTTCCTTACTTTACGCTAGACACGCGTTCAAAATGTTTGACCGCTCTGTTGGTTTTATGTTTCGCGTAATGAAACAGCTGTTAAATCACACGTCGGTGTTAGTGTTGCATCAGGCTGGTGGCGTAAAAAATCACGTGCAACACTCAAACCTTAGTTTTCTAGGAATAGTAGTGCGATTCAATCACACGAAGCTGTAGAACCCTAGCAGTGATAACTCAATTTGTCTTTATTAAAAGCATGTATATTGACAGATCAAAAACTTTTGACTATGTTGAAAGCTTGCCAACTTTTGAAGTACCGTTGGCCTCTTTTAAAAGTATCTTTGAAGCAAAGGTAAATAAAATCCTTAATTTCCTCCAACTTCTGCTGTCAGCTTTCTGTTTGAGATTTAGTGTTATTCATTATTGTTGGAGTGATACTCTACAAACGGCAAAAATGTTTTTAATTCCTCACGTGGAGTTATTTCTCATTTCAGCAAAAATACTTTTTCAATGTGTCCCAGTCAGCAATTTTCTACTCCCCCTCCCCACCACCATAGCGTCCCAGAAACCTTGGAAAATTGAGCCTTTTACGTGCGTTATTTTCCCTGGATTTTGGTTCTTGCTTTACTTTTAATCTTATGAAATTTAAACCAAAATATTGTTTAAGGAAGATTTTGTACAAGGAGAAATTACATTTCCTTGTTTCTTTTTCTTTTGAAACACAATTTGAAGGGCACCTAAATGACCTAGAACAGGTATTCAAAGGGGACACATTTGCTCAAACTGCAGCAATCTGGCTACCTCTGAAATACCTCAAGATCTGTTCAAGTCTTGTAATGATCACAAAGCTTGCCCAACGCTTCTTAGTACAGCTACCTAGCTGCTGTCTTACCTGTCCTTTGCACTTGGCTACTCCTCCTTTGATTACACGGTTTATCATAAAGTTTGTTCGATGGCATGTGATCTGAACATTGCATGTTTTAGATCATCTCATAACCAATCATTAGTTATCTCCCGGGGGAGGGGGGTGGTGGAGGATTTTGCAGGGGATTAAATGGTTTTCCAGAAGTGGGGACCAGTTGTTGCCAACAGAGTATAGAGGGGGAATATAGAAAATCGATCGTCAATTATCATTTTTATAAAATTCACCCTTAAACGTTCAACCTAACATAATCTGAATTTTCACCGGAATGTTGTAAACTGAAAAACGGTAAGGCTATAATTACTCCAACTAGAGTCTGACGTTTTGGCCAACCTATCACTTTATTGGCTTTCGTCGATATTTTGACATTTAATAACATCTTAATCGACCCGCGCAGAGGTTTTAAGTTATACACCTTTCTTTTCAATATTGTACATTTACTAGCGAATAAATGATCGGATCAGGCAGACACCACAACATGTCAAATAAAGTCAACTATCTCCTTTATCCTTTCTACCTATGGCCGACTCGTGCAGTAAGTACTTAATCTACAGTTGAAACATGGTGGTGAACTTGTAGTTATTGGTCTTGTAGCAATGTAAGGTTGCTCTTGCTTCAAAAGCCAAGGTTCCAGAAAATCACGGAGAGATCCACAATTATGGTTAACATCCAACTCCGCAGAATAATCAACGCATAAGTAGCCCACAAAAACAGCACAAAATAGCATCCTGCGTTTATCGAATTTCCGCATGCAAAATTCGTTAAATTTAGCCGTTGCAATGCAAATCTCTCTTCGCCTGCATAAGCATAATTCCACTATTTTCCAATTCTATGTCGCGTTTCGCCTCACAGTGGTTCAGCATTTATCTGATAAGATTTCTGCCCCGGAACGAAATGACATCAGAACGCACTGAAAGTTTTTTGACTAAGTGAAATTGAAGATAGGCAGAAATAAATTCCACAGTTTTTTTGTCAGAAAAGCACAGGATTATTTCTGTTCCCTTTTGATCAATCCAGCCGCTAATGTTTACATGTGATCACTAGTAAAATAGATAAAGATGTTGCGCAGCTAGCTTTGAACTATGGAATGTGAAAGAATTACCGTGATGTGCAACAGGCATCCCACGGAATTATGCAAATTTACATAAAGCTAAGGTAAGAATTCTACGTGACAGATCTCTTACACCATTGCCTGGAAACGGGATGAGGAAGATTCTTCGCAAAGGAAGCATTAAACCATACATGATACTTTTGTTCGAAAACAAAAGGGTAAGATTCACTTCAATTAATATATTGATCGAAGTAGGTTTGGTAATTTTGAGTCGGGTTGAATGCATGACTGATTTAGCGTGTGAAGTGCTTGTGGAGTAATCATCTCACTCAAATAATTTTTTGATTTGAACTTCCTGATAGATCACATCTTTTCTCTTTTATTAGCTTTGGTGATCTTTTTTGCACGCAATTCTACAGTTTCCATTAGCTGTTGAAGCAAGTGATATTAGGAAAAAATGACCGAGCAGAGTTCTATTGTAACTGTTGAAGATAAACAAGAAACATTAATCGGGAAGGTTTGCAACCCATGGATGTGGCGAGTTGCGAATGGTTTCATGGCCTTGTTTTTTGCCTTCGCCTCTTATGTTCAGGTCAGTCCACCATATTTTGAGCTTATTATGTTCTCAGCACCAGAAAAGGTGAATCTGTGGCGATATCATAATTTATTTATTGTTATGATACGATAAATTAAGCCTCACTGATAAAGAGTTCTTTTAAAATAAGCTACATTCATGAGCAACAATACGTGTTCCTTTGTTCACTCGACACGTAGACTGAGGTAAGGAAATATTACGTAATTGTGAAAATATTGTTTTTTGTTATTATTAATTAAGAACTTTGTAATGTTCAGTGATGGTTTTGAGCCTTTCAGGCAGCTGCGTGACGTCTAGCGCTTTTAGAGCACATTTCGGTTAGGAACTAGTTCTTTTCGTGAATAATAAATACAGTTTGTTCACAAAGAGTTAGCTCTACAGGTAGTGTCTGCAGAGGATTTTTCTGATATCAAAACTCGGCTAGATTAAGAGGTTTAGAACCGAGAAAAGAATCATGAAAGTGTAAGACACAAGGGAATCCCCATCCTGCAGATTGAATATTGTTTTATTCATCTCATAAGTTTAAGAGAACTTTTCTTTTTTGCAGTAACTCTAAAGACTGGGAGAATTTCATAGAAATTAGAGCAATTTTTCAAAAAAATTTGAGCAGCGCTCAACGACCTATGAGAAAAGTTAAATAGGGGTAAATTATTCATATTCTAATGCTAAAAGTTGACAAGAAATTATTCACAAAATGTTTGTTGTCATATGCTCAAATGTAACACTTTGTGACTTAAGGTGACTGAATTGTTGGATAGCAGAAAGAATTTTTGGTGAATGCATGCATGATTTTGATTTATGATCTTAGAATTTTTTAATCTTTATTTGTCCACAACAGATCAATGACCCTGATCCTGTAATATGGATGGTAAGCCAGGCTTCTTTTCAGTGATAATAGATGTTTGGTTTTTAAGATGGTAATTATTTGATGTGGGTAATTTTCTGAGACAAAACAAAATATTAAGGCCTCAAGGGAAAAGAAAGGTCCGCTGCAATGACAAGGATGACTTATATTTTGTTTAAGGATATCTGTTGTTGCATCTACTTAAAACCCCTTTGACCTCTAAGAGTGACTAGCATCTACTTTCTCCTTACAGTATTGCTCCTGAATCACACATTAAGGTCATGAGAATAAAGGAAATGATCACCAACTAAAGAAGCTAGATTGCTAAATAAATTTTCCTCTTCAGAGCCGTAGGAAATGTATTCATTTGAGAACAGTATGGAGAATATGCATACTGATGTTAGAGTGTAAAGGGTTATTAATACATCAATAGGGAAATAATTGAATAAATGGTGAAATGATCTTAAAGCTGTGAAATTTGCATGTGAAAGAATTATGATTCATGTTTGAGGACTGTATGGAGTCAAACAAGAAACCAAGAGTGAACTATGAAGAAACTGGGTTCAAAACTTGAGTGAAGTGAAAATTTTCAGAGTTTACCATAATCCCACCCTGTTTTTGTTAAAAACATATGATTCTTCTTACATTTACTTCCTAGTTGATCTATGCCATTCCATGTTTCCTGTGTATTGCTTTAGTGATTGATTCATCATTACAAGGTAAAAAATCTTATGATTTATGGAAAGATTGTGGAAACTGATGTCTTTGATCAATATTTATGTCAGCAGATCCAGGTCTTAAAGCAATAAAGAAGCCACTTTATCTTTTTTAAGGTCTCAGATGTACGTTATAACATTTGTCATTTTGATGGCAGCTTAACAGTTTGATCTCTGAGAGTGACTGACATTTAATTTCTCCCTACAATATCAGCCCAAATTCATATATTATGGTTACAAGAATAAAGTAAATGATCACCAAAAAGGCTCTTGATTAAACAAATTCTCCTTGTCAGCACCTTACAAAATGTATAGAGAACAGTGTAGATGAAATACATACTGATAGGATCAATATCAGTATCTGGGCAACTGCCCACCTACCCCTCCCCTAACTCAACAACAGTCAATTAATAACAACTTAGGGTTAATGTTGGGTTAGGGAGGGGTAGGTGGGCAGTTGCCCAGATACTGATATTGGTCCTACTGATGTTAGGGGTGTATGTAGGGAGGTTAATTATAAATAAACAATGACTAAAGATCTCCTATGACTGAATGTATAATCATTTTTTCATATCTGTTGTGTTTTGATTAGTCTATACTTACAGACAACAATGTTTTTTTATCTCTTTATTTTGAAGATCATTATGTATGGAGGTATACAGCAGTCATTCATGTTGTTGTCTGTAATCTGGGTATTTTTTACTCACTAAGTGTCCTATTTGGGACTGAGATCAGCTTCAAAAATCCTCTGGAATATGAAGAAGGGAGGTGAGATATATCTTGTTCACAAATGAAAAATAAAGTGAAGATCAAGTTTAATTTATGAAATAAGGATAACAAATTTGAAAATAAGTCAAATAAACGGAGTTAGTGATCATTGTAACTGAATGAAAAGATTTAAAATGTTCAAGCAGTTACATTGTTTATAAACTATCTGAACATAGATATGAGTTAGCCCTCTCACACCAAGGAGTGTCCAAGATGCAAATTCTCCCTACAGCTTATGTAATTATTTTTAGACATTTAGGAATGTGAAAAAGATGTGTGGGGGGAGGGGCTGGTTTTTGGATAGAACTCTGAATTCTCATTACTAGTCTACAAAGCTTTATACGGTAATTAGTTTGTAAAATTAGCTCAATCACATCTTAAAAGAAAAAGGTTCAACATTTGCATCTCTCCTAATCTCAGTTTTTGTGTGATGGGGGATTTTTAATGTGCTCAGGAATGCCATCATTTAGATACCCAGTCTTCTGCCCTCAATTGGCTGAAAGAATTCTCAATAAAATTTAAGGAATCTGTGACTTCCATGTTGTACTTGAATAGAGTCTTTCTACCACAAAGGTTATTTTTTTATCCCAATCAGGAACTCTGATTTCCTCTCTGGGTATGTACCATTGAAGGACTTACAGTAATTAGATGGTACAACCTGGGTGGGTACCTCACACTTAACCCTTCAACTCCTAAGATCTCATTAGTAATTCTCCTTACTGTCTGCCATACAGGTGATGGTGATGTTAGTTTGGAGAATTATGTATTGGATCAACTTATAATCTCCTGACTGATATTTTCTTTATTCTCATCACTTGTCTGCTTGATATTGTATTGATATTGTGAGGAGAAATTCTGTCTTGGTCACTCATGGGAGTTAAAGGGTTAATGCTCAAGGCAACTGTACTCTCTAAAACCTTGCCTTGTTCTTTTTGGCAGGGAAATTGGAGGCCTTTTGATAATCATTGCCTGGTTAGGGCTCTGTTGGCTAAGAAGACTCAGAGGGTAATAATAATATGACTCTCTTTGATTCCTTTTGATGTTTTCCTTTGTTGCGAGCGGCTGTTCTGATTTCTTTGGATCTTAGTAAATAACACTGTATATGTTTTGTTTATACTTTGCAGTTTTGGTGAAGCAAATGTCTTTTTTTGGTCAGCCACAATAGCTGTCTCTCTGACTCCATTTGTTCTCTTGGGTTACTATGTAAACACATGGGATGTGTCTGCCATACAAAGCCACTGTAAAGATATAATTTCAAGGCATCTGTACAAAGAAATTTAAATATGTGTATTTCAGGAAATGATGAAAAATCTAATTCAATATGTCAATAGATCAGACCCCAGTTGTTTGAAGGATGGATAACCCTATCCACTGGATAAATCTGTATCAGGTGGATAACGTTATACATTCTGCTATTACTTATTACCTGGAGATTTATCTTTTGGATAGCATTGTCCACCTTTTAAACAACTGGACCCAACAGCATATCTGGTCTCCTTCGCAGCCAAAGTTTGGACTCATCACACAACACACTTGTAATGTGCAACATAGTGTGAGAACATGCCGTGTGACAAGACCAAAAATTAGCTGTGAAGGAGACCACAGCATATCAGGTAGAGATATAAAATGAGGTCAGAAAATTCCAAGTCCTTTTTCAGAAACGGCAAATTTAAATAAAGAAATGTAGCCAGAGGTTAGCATTTATGAGAACTAGACGTAGCAGGAATAAACATCTGGTTCATGTTGTTCGAAGGTTGGATAACACTATCTGATTCACTGGATAAATCTCTATGTGGTGGATAGTGCATTATGTTTCACTAGCTCTCTTCCCCTGGATAACAATTTATCCATTGGATAGTGTCATCCATCCTTGAACAACTGGGCTCTGGTCTTGATCATTGATCAAGCTGAGAACAAAGAAATAAATAATTATACACAAATGGTATGTATAACGAGATAAATATATATATAGACATCCTTTATTAACCTTTGGCCTTGTTTATAGCCTAGAGGGGCTATGAAAAAAAAAATTAATGGCATATAGAGATTGCAAACCCAGAGCCCTGTAATGTAAAAGACCATTTTGAATTTTTGTCAGTTGTTATGGAGTTGTAGAATGAAATAAACCACTTTATTCCCAATTGTTGCAAGTTGTTTATGTTAGCTTTAAAATATTCTTCCAAAAACACTCATACTTACAATTTTACGTCAACAGTGTTACAATATTTATGAAATATTTCGTAATTCTTTCAGTTTGTTGCATTTTAGCCCGCGATCTTTAAATATTTAAAGCGGATAATCATGTGATCATGCGTTGAGTGGAAACTCACGAGAGTAACGATAAGGGACGAGGGATCAAAAAGCTTGAACCGTTTTCTGCCTTTTTCACTGGTATTTTCCTCCGTCTGCAAAAGATGCAACGAGTATTTACCAGAAAGGTAAGGTCTGTTTCGACGATAGCTAGGAGAGAGCGGTAAAGATAGTTTAAGTTCACTGAGTTTGAAGTTGACTAAACCGTGACCTATATCCCCAACCCACCTGGACGATCGGCGATATGAACTCTGTTCTTGCATACAAACGACTAAGTGCCGTTGGAGTAAAGATATTGTATTTAAAGCAGTCTCACTGTGACACGCAAATTTCTTCGTTTAATTCAACCTCCGTGAAATCAAAATACGTATAGACGAAATATATGAAAGATCTAAAAAGTTTCCTCGATGACGCATCATGTGTTTTATCTTCCTCCCTGTCTTTGTTTATGTGCGAGAAGTGAACAGTTCATTTGTAGATTTATAAAGCTCAAATTCCGGGCAATATCCGATGCAAGTCCGGCACATTTTTCTGAGAATAATTTCATCAGCCTCAGGTGTATTTACATTGAAAATATCCAAATGTCTTATAACATTACCGGACCTCCTTCCGCAAATCCTTGCAGCATCACAATCTAGTCTGCTTCAACAAAATAATTGAAACCAGGAGATCATACAATGTATTGCTAAAAGTTTTAATATACCTTTTGAATTTGATTTGATGAAAAGTGGGTTTCACGTTATGTTGTTAGAACAGAGAGAGTTGCAATTTATGACAAATCTTTACTAATACTTTTTTCTGACATGCAGTCAGTCATATTCAAGGCAACATGCAGTTTTTCTGGTGCAGTTTTGATGGGATCAATGTTTTATTTTCTTAGGCAAGATGTTGAACTTGCACAGTTCCACTACAACCCTTTTCAGGAGTGTACATGAGTGCATGTGAATGTCAAAAATGAAACTCTTGTTTATTATTAGTGTTAGTTTTATTGCACTGGAATAACAAGTCCTACAAGTGCTATAACTATCCCACTGTAACACATCACTTACAAACTAAAATTTTAACTTTTGATTAAGCAGTCAGGGCAGCCTGATAGATTTGGGTAATCCAATAATGTACTGGCATCCAGAGAACTAGTAATACCTTTAATCACTTTGTGATCTAGAAATTGTTACAAGTTTAAGGATTGTGGGCTGGTTAGAGAGGTGTTTGCTAATATATTGAAAGAGTCATAAAAATGGGAAAGTCAGTACTTGAGTTGAATGGTCCTTCCAGAGCTTAAACACGCTTTCTTAAGCATTAAGTGACTAGAAGTATTACTACTTCCCCTGGATGGGATGCCAGTCCATCATAGGTTACCCCCATGCCATTGGTCAGCTTCCCCTGACACTTGCCCAGTACCCCTTTCTACCCTCCTGGGTTGGGAGAAACATTGTGAGACTCGAGTGTCTTTCCCAAGAACATAACACTAAGACCTAGAACTCTGATATCTTAACCCAGAGTTCAGCATGTTAACCCCTAAGCGAGCAGGTCTTCACAAGCTGTAGTGTGAACTATAACGCTTCTCTAGAACTAGAAAACCTTTTACAGCTGTATCTTCTTAATTTTTGTAATAATTGTGTGTACATGTTCTAACTTATTAATTTTATTTTTTCAGGCTGTGTTATCTGTTCGAACAGCTGTCTATCATGGCAGACTCTTTTCAACATCGTATACAGCTTCTCAAAAGGTGAAGTTCTTGACTGTGTGTGATAAAAGATTACTACCTACATGTACATGTAGAAGTAGCAAATGTGAGTGGTTGCACAGCTTATTGGTGGTTTTCACTATGACACCATCATCAAAACCATTAAACAAATAAACTCAAGAATCAAAGAGATAAGAAAAGATTAATATTTAAACAGTTTTGCAAAGATTCAGGTTTGTGCAACGTTTTGTGCAGAAATTATTCAAAGAAATGTTTAAATTGAGTTAAGGCAATTGGTTTTTTGCATGCGCATATGCAGCTCCTTCATGGAAGAAGTCTCTGTGTAGGAGCTGGCTGCCAATAGAGGAAGCTCCTGGATGTTTCAGGCACCCAACTTCCAATTAGCAATGTAGTTGTTAACTCCAATTTATAAGACTGTTTGGAGACAAGGTCACAAATATAGTGACTGGAAGCTAACAAAAACATAAGACATTAAGTTTTTCTATTAAAAGCATGTAGTTGTCTCCTGAGGGCTCATACATGTCTGCTGTATATGAGTACTTATTCTCCTACAAAGACTGTTAAAATTGCAAAATCTGAGTGAATAAGTCACTTTTTTTGACCTACGTGAAAGCTTTCTCAGTCACCATTACAATCCATGCTTTATCACTGGATGTTTCTCAGTCACCATTACAATCCATGCTTTATCACTGGATGAAAAACCCTATCAAACTGAAAATTTGCAAATAGATAAGTCTTCAGCCGTTCTTATTACTAACTAAACTAAAATCTCAAAAGAGTTGATAATTCCTCTTTTTTTAATTTTGATGATATTGCATGAAAACCAAGAATAGGAAAAAGACTTGCAGATGGGAAATTTTAGTAATTTTTTCAACTTTGTTGGTTGTTTACCTTGTGGGAATTTAGTGTCAAATTGAAATTAATTAACTCTCTGTTTTTACAGTCAAGAGCCATGCTAACCAAGCTTTGTTCTACCACCTTTTGTTAATGTTGTTCTTCTCTATTAAAGGTGCCTTTGAGTAAATTTGAGCCAGACTCGCATCTTAACTACCAGCACCTAGAAGACAATATAAGAATAGTCCGTGATAGGTAAGCACTTGGAAATGAGCTTATCTCTTTTCAGGCAAGATATGAAACCTTATGCTTAAACATTGTTTTTTTCTTGTCTTTTTAGGCTCAACAGACCATTGACACTCTCTGAAAAAATTCTTTATTCCCATTTGGATGACCCAGCCAACCAGGTATAGTTGATACATGTGAACTTTACTGTCAAAAAAATGAACTGAGAGTTGATTTTCTTGCAAGGTTTATCTGAAAGCCTTGACTTTGTGCTCCTTTACCCATACTTACTAAATCTTGCTTACTATCCTCTGTCATTTAGTAAAAATTTTTATACCTCATAGAAATAAGGGTCTCTTTGTTCTTCTCTTTACACTCTATACTGAAGCTTAATGTATACACCTGATATACACAATGTTTCTAAACAAATTTGTGCTTTTGTAGATTTTTTTTCAACCTGTTAATTTTTTTAACAGGATATAGAAAGAGGTGTATCATATTTGAAGTTGAGGCCTGATCGAGTTGCTATGCAAGATGCTACAGCTCAGGTAAATTTTAAAAGCGTTGTTTTATATTCGTTGGTAAGTGTAATACTTGCAAAAGACAGGTATCAATGTAAAGGAAAGATAACCTGAAACTAAGAAATTAGGTAAAGCTGTTGATGTAATTAAAGCTAATTATAATCATAATTGTTTCTCGATTTAGCCAAAAACATGCTTGTTTGTCCTTTTGATGAGAATATCACAATTATTATCCATATACCCATTGGCAATTGAATTTAACCTTGCTATAAATCAGTTTCTATTAGTATTTAAATTCTGTTCATTTTATTTTAGATGGCTATGCTCCAGTTTATCTCAAGTGGACTTCCTAAGGTTGGTGGGGAGGTTCAATTTCTGCAATTACTCCTGTGCTAAGTAGCATTAGATATCACTTACAGGGGTTTCAAAACAAGCTGGCCACCGCCAGAGTTCCGACAGATTACATGTTGCCAGTTACTCTGGTCAAAATAACTACCTTTTGGCCTTTCCACAGCCACCCGCTTTTGCGGAATCTGAGGCCTACTTTAAAACATTTTGAAACCCCTGACTTAACATCAGTTGTATTTAGTAGCTCTGTCATTCTACACAGACATGGTGTCTGTTAGGCATTGAAATTGGAGAAACCTTGTGCTAGTGGGCAGAATTCTCTGGCTGGATTTCTTTGACCTGAGCAATTATTTCCCAGTCATGGATAATATTCTCCAATTATCTTAGGCTCTATTCTTGCTACTACATTTGTATACAAAACATAGGCCTAGCATAGGCCTTTCGGCAATGTTACTGCAAAATTGTCTTTGTCACTCACATAGAAGAAATAGAGACATTTGGATTTCCTTGGTATTTAGTTGAAAGCTTCAAGTCTATTTATTCCAGCATATGTGTATTGTAATTTACATGTATTTCTTAAGTAATGACTATAATAATTATTGTTCTTTTCGTAGGTGGCTGTTCCAACAACCATTCACTGTGATCACTTGATAGAGGCAAAAGTGGGAGGTGAAGAGGATTTGAAAAAAGCAGTGGATGTCAACCAAGAGGTGTACAACTTCTTGGCAACAGCTTCAGCCAAGTATGGTGTTGGCTTCTGGAAACCAGGCAGTGGAATCATCCATCAAATAGTTCTAGAAAATTATGGTTTTCCCGGAGTGCTGTTGATTGGCACTGATAGTCACACACCAAATGGAGGTTTTTATATTAAAATTATTTTGTCTTGTTTGTGCAGTTTCCCTTTTTAAGAGCTTTAAAATGTAAAATTCTGTGATTGCTCCCTGTGAGACTCCCCCAAAGTTGTTTGGAGTATCTTTCTTAGTATCTGTTCAATTAATTGACTTTTTTTTTTTGTTTTTAATTGTGTGAAATCTGAATTTTGCCTCCTTAGAGACCTTATTTGCCTTAACATATGGTACAAACCTTCAGCCTTTATGTCTGTACTCTTTTGAGTAATCCTTTATTTTTATAGTTTGAATTGTAATATATCTGATCACCATGACATCATTCTAATATTTGGAGGCCAACATTCCTGCAGAGGAAATACTTTCAGTCTCTGTTTTGACCTGTTAATTGTGTTTGTTTTTTTTTTTTAATAATTTTTTTTAGTAACAGACCTCTGTGACTGAGAATGTTCTGTGTAATGACGGTTGTTTGGTTGTTTTGTTATCAATACATACATTGTTAATTTCATGCTATTGCTCTGCACGTTCAATCAAAGTAAGGAAATTTGCAGAAATATACTCGGAGAAATGTTTATCAGAGGAATTTGTTCCTGTGGTCCTTACACTCTCTACTGTTTTATATTTTCCAGGTGGCCTTGGGGGTCTGTGTATAGGTGTAGGCGGGGCTGATGCTGTTGATGTCATGGCAGATTTACCATGGGAACTGAAGTGCCCCAAGGTACATTGGATCATATTAATTCTGTATTTATATTGTAATTATTATTTTATGTATTGATGTATTTTTCAAATCAAAATATACTTGTACATGTATATAGTTCAAAGCCTTCCATAAGCAGAGCCCACGTGCAAGAATTAAGTTTTTGGATGTGGTACTCTTACAACTGTATATGCTGTTGTACATGGTGTAAAAAAATTGCAAATCTGAATGATACTGAGGATTGGAAGAGCACTAGATCTTAATTTTAATGCTCATCAATGCACTAAGCAATTATGTTTGGCTAATGTATTGGACTTCATTTTTCATTTTAACAGGTGATAGGAGTGAACCTGACTGGAGAACTCAAGGGTTGGACATCTCCTAAAGGTAGAGATCACTTTTCAAAATCATTGAATGTGTGTATGTGTTATGTACATCATCCTATAACTCTCTAACATCCTATAACACCATAAGAGTGACCAGCTAATTTCTCCTAACAGTAAAACTACTGAATCATCCATTAACCCTTTAACCCAAAGAGTGATTAGTAACTGTTTTCTCCCATCAATATCACCCCTAAAACAAACATTGAGGTCATGAGAATAAAGGAAATGATCACCAACTCAAGGAGCTATTGATTGTTAAACAAATTCTCTTTGTCAGCACCACAGGAAATGCACAGAGAACAGTATGGAGAATATGCATACTGATGTGAGGGTGTAAAGGGTTAAGATCATAAGAATAAAGGAAAATGATCACGAACCTAAGATGCTGTGATTGTTAAATGAATTCTACTGGTCAGTACTATAGGAAATATATAGAAAAGAGTATCGAGAATATGGACACTGATGATAGGATGTGAAGGGTTAAGATTAAATTATGAGTTCTGTGAAGTCTGTAAATGAATTTGTACAAAAAGAGGAAGTTACTTTCAATCTTTTTTCTTCTGGATTATTGATGTGTGATAATTGGTTTCCTATTAAACAGACATCATCCTTAAAGTAGCTGGAATCTTGACAGTCAAAGGAGGAACTGGTGCAATTATTGAATATTTTGGACCTGGGGTGGATTCTATCTCCTGTACAGGTATGCATCGTCAATTTTACAAACCTTATAATTTTTAAATTACAAGGTGCCTAAGGTTCTTGTCTCAGCAGTCTGGGCTGCACAGCTCTGAATAGCTTTCATAATTAAATAGTTTTACAAGGTACCCAAAGCTTCTCTAAAGCACAGGCTTGGCTGCATGTAGATAGATGCAGTGCCACACAATTCTAAAAGAAAAGTCAGTATATAATCTTTCATATGGAACCAAGAGTATCTGCCACTCTCCTTTATAAGGGCCACTTACTGGTAACCTGCTAACTCACCTTGTGTAAGATGGGTGTCTGAGGTATCTATTGTTTTTAGCTAGGCCCAAAGTAGAATACCACCCATGATTTATAAATTCTGCAACCCACTCAATGAGCCACAAACCATTCTGAGGCATCATTACCTCTGATTGAAAGAGTGGAAGGAAGAAAAGTGTTGTGATGGCCTGGGACTCATAATGAGTTGGAAACACGAATAAAAGAGAGGAAATATATGAAAATATGTTGTATGAAGGAAAAGAGAGAGAGGGAGGAAAAAAAGGCTTTTTAAAACTGGCAGAATTGGTTTCTCCAAATAAAAAAAGATACTTCTTCATGCTGTATGAATTTTCTGATCAGGAATGGGAACAATTTGTAACATGGGTGCAGAAATTGGTGCCACAACATCAGTATTTCCATACAATCACCGCATGGAGTCATACCTGAAGGCAACTGGAAGATCAGCAATAGCTGACCTTGCCAACAAACATGCTGAATTTTTGAAATCTGACAGCGGAGCAGACTATGATCAAGTTGTGGAGATTGATCTCAGTGAGGTGAGTGTTTGCTCTCTACTACTCTGTTAACTAATGAGAACAGTAGTGTAGTAGTTGATTCAACTAAAAAAACCTTGACTGTGTACCACACTTATGCAATAGGTTTATGATGATGGTATCACACATAATGTAGTCTAAATAATGCATTTATTGTTGTGTTTTAGCTTGAGCCACATGTGAATGGTCCCTATACACCAGACTTGGCCCATCCCATTTCCAAACTTGGGTCAACAGCAAAACAGAGTGGCTGGCCCATGGACATCAAAGTTGGTAAGTTACAGCCTTTTACTGTTAGTATCATTTAGTCTCTTTGAGGGAATTAGAATTTCAAATCTTTGCATAGGCAATTCTCTAATTTTGGAAAAATGATTGAAGAATTTTATTTAATGCTAGGTCTGATTGGAAGTTGCACCAATAGTAGTTATGAAGACATGACAAGAGCTGCTAGTATTGCAAAGCAAGCTCTTGAACATGGACTTAAGTCCAGGTATGAGCTCTTGTAATTTCTTTTTTTTTTACCATTAACTTCCTTTTCTTTAAAATTAAAAAGTGTTTGATTTATGGTCAATTTCTTTTTCTCAATTCCAAGGTCATTGTTCACAGTCACACCAGGTTCAGAACAAATCCGTGCTACCATTGAACGAGATGGAATTGTGAGTTGTACTTACTCCTTTTCAATCTATTTTTGCATTTTGTAGGTATTTTTTACAGTTATGAAATAGCAACCTTTCTCTTACCTCTATGAAAAAGTAGCACCCTGCTCTGAGGTGCTCTGCCTTTGCATTAAGTTACTTTAAAACCTCAGTAATAATATAAAAAAGTTAATTGATCAGATACTGGATATTCAGCTTCCTAACTATAGTACTCTAATTGAATTTCCAATTTGTGCTCATTGTAAATTTTTATACTTGAAATATTATTTCATCAGGCAGAGACATTGAGAGAATTTGGAGGAACAGTGTTGGCAAATGCATGTGGACCTTGCATTGGACAGTGGAACAGGTATAAGGACAGTTCCAATGCTCTATTATCTACCTACACAAGAAGTTTAAGTTGTAGGGACATGATGATTTTACTCAATTAAATGCTGTCTTCCAAAATCTCTGCCCCCAATCAACCCTTCAACTCCCAAGATCTGATTGTTAATTCTCCCTCGTAGCTGTTACATATTTCCTTTTGAATTTGTTATGAGAATTTGAGGATAGATCACGATAACTACCTGATAAGTTTGAGTATTCTCATTGCCTGGTTGCTTAATAATGTATGGTATTATAGGAAGAAGTTACATGTTATTCATCTATAAGAATTAAAGGCTTAAACACCGGACATGGAAGCAAAATCACCATTAAACGCTGCCCTCAAATGACTAGGTGTACCCAATCTCAAGAATGCATTCCACTGTGGAATGCTAACTATGCTAACTGTTATGCTAACTATTGCAAAACTCTATATAATGCAGAAGATGAGCTATAGATGATGTACTTGAAATATGTAGACTAAAAATTACCAGATGCATACGCCGTTTTGAAGCAATCATTGCAATAATGATGATGTTTTGTGTTTGTAGACAAGATATCAAGAAAGGAGAACCAAACACAATAGTGACATCTTACAACCGAAATTTCACAGGACGCAATGATGCAAACCCAGCAACTCATGCATTTGTTACTTCACCAGAGGTGGGGCATACGCAACCACAGTGTTTAACGAAGCTGTTTTAGCTCTGATTTGTTTCTGTTTTAGAGCAAATTTCACTTGCGTGTCGAAAGGAATCTGAGATTACACTAGTTTTTCTTTAATTTGCTCTGTGATTGGTCCAGAAACTCGCGCCAATCTCTTAACCAATCAGATGCCAAAATAAAACCAACCAGCGACTTGGTCGCCCGCGTTTTCACGCGCTATTGGCAGTTTTGAATTCTCATTGGCTCTAAAGCTATTTTCCTTTCCTTTGATTGGCGGTAGTGTTTAGTTTGGTTTTGGTTTTGCGACACTCAATCGAAAAGCGCTCTCTATTTTAATAGTTATGGATAGCCAGTTTGGATGAAAAATTGACCTATTTCTTTATTTAATTTATCCTGTGATCAACAGATGGTGACAGCAATGTCCATCGCTGGTGACTTGAGTTTTAACCCTGAGACAGACACTTTAACAGGCGCAAACGGTAGGCTTACATGTACATGTACATGTACATGAGATTTATTCGAAGCCATTTGTGGCACAACTTATGCAAGAATTAAATAGAGGCTACAGAGCGAAGTTGATTCGGGTTGTAATTTTTTACTTTCCAGGTGAATCGTTTAAACTTGAAAATCCCTATGGTGATGAACTGCCCAACAAGGTAAGCATATCTTTGAACAAGTGAAACCGCCGCATAGCGTTAACTTACTTTCTGTTGCAGTACCTAAGGTTAATAGAATTTAGCCTCTGGGGCGTACTCTGTTCAGCGATAAATGTGAGATTAGTAGGTAAAATAGGAGATACAGCTCACTGAAAGATGAGAATATTCCTGTTTTTACTTCCAGTTTCTTTATATCTTACCCCGATGGAAAATTTTCCCCCTTCCCACAAAAGAGGTCATCGGGCGTAAGGTCACCTCGTTCAAGAGTACTGGTTTCACTAAAACTTTTGATTTACTCTTCAGGGTTTTGATCCTGGTGAGGATACATACCAGGTACGTCACAAACTTTCTTTTTTGACTTACGTTGATGCAACTATAGCCAAAAGTAATCCGAGATTGCATTGTTTTTCTTTACTACTTTGCTCTGTGATTGATTCGGAAAGCTTGCGTCACCCTTTCAGCTAATCAGACGCGAAGGCGAAGGCGACTTGGTCTTTTACGTTTTCCTGCATTGCAGTGAAGTTCACTTGTTTTTACTTATAGTTCTCACCAACCAGAATTGTACGAGAAGTATGGCAGAAAATAGGGAGAATTAATATTTAGATCTTGCAATTGAGAAGGGAGAACATGATCAAAAACTACTTTCTGTTACTTCACAGGCCCCTCCAGCTGATAGTTCATCTGTTGCCGTAGACGTTGATCCTCAAAGGTGAGGCTTTTTGGAGAGTCCAAACAACGATAATTCGGATGAATTTCGGCCCACGATGAGTTAGGAAATTTACTCAGGTATTTAATGTCTTCCTTCACAGCAACCGCCTTCAGCTTCTTACTCCTTTTGACAAATGGGACGGGAAAGACCATGAAGACATGACGATTTTGCTCAAGGTGGGTTTAAAAAAAGTTAAAGCGAAGTATTACTGATGAGGAAATGTGTTTTTTAAAATAGGGGACGACAGAACATCGCCAGAATTCAATTTTGAGTTTTGCTCATGCAATCATGACGTTATGCCGTTATGACACATTGCCAACTTACTAAGGCCTTAAGTGAATTATGGGTTGACCGGTCGGTCTGGTCATAATGTTATTTAATGCTTTTGGATTGATATTTTGTTGCTAGGTGAAAGGCAAGTGTACAACAGACCACATCAGGTAAAGAGAGATCCATGTGAAGTATCTTTTTTATAGCTCTCCCTGACTTCCGACTAATTGCGTGCTTCACGGAAAGCAAAGCCTTGTGGCGCACTCTGCTGTTCAGATTTATCAACTCTAGGCACTAAGACTGTATCCCATTATGACAGTGAAAAAAAATACATACCTGTCCTTTTATCTATCTACCACTCGACTGCCATAGGATAGCGCGCGCGAGAAGGCTCTCGCTGGACGCGCTTTTCCTCCACCCGCCCGCGTGAGAGTTGAGGCGAGTCATGCTTTCCCGCGGGTGGAGAAACACTCGTAACGAACAACGCCGATTCGCTATTATCCCATTGCACCTTAAAATCAGTATGCATATTCTCCATACTGTTCTCTATACATTTCCTGAAGCGCTGACAAGGAGAATTTGTCAAAAAATCAAGGGCTCCTTGAGTTGGTGATCATTTCCTTGATTCTCGCGACCTTCATGTTTGATTCAGGGGTGATGTTGTAAGGAGAAATTAGAAACTGGTCACCCTAAGGGGTTAAAGGGTTAGCGCGGGCCAGCTCGAAGGCTAGCGATAGAGGTACTCGGCTTTCTCAAACGCTGCCTCTTGAATGATGAACGACACTCTGTTGGAATACCTTTGATTTATTGATTGATTGATTGATTGTTTATTACTATTATTACTGTTATCTTTTATATTTTTCTTATAAAGTTGCTTAAATTGTAAAGGCCTTTTTTTCTTGGCATAAAAATGGGGGATGAAACTAAACCTGTCTGTGGTAAGAAGCTACAAACTGGGTTGGCCATAGTATTTCATAGTATTAAACGTACTTTGGTGTAAAATAGCGCGGCAGGTCCATGGCTCAAGTACAGAGGGCATTTGGATAATATTTCAAACAACATGTTTATTGGGTGAGTACAGATATTTGAATACACATACATCACGTCTATTCCACCTTAAAAAAAATTGAGCCCAAGTTTGTCATTTGTGATTCTGTCACTTTGCTTTATCCTTTACCATCTTTGTTCCCTTTTGGGGTTGATCGCCCCAGCATCAGTATGCATATTCTCCGTACTGGTCTCTATACACTTCCTAAGGTGCTGACAAGGAGAATTTGTTTAACAATCAAGAGCTTCTTTCGTTGGAGATCGTTTCCTTGATTCTCGTGACCTTAATGTTTGATGCAGGGGTGATTATTGTAAGAAGAAATAAGATGCTGGTCAGTCCCAGGGGTCAGAGGGTGAAGGAAATGCTCTATAATTTGAGAGGTCACTAGAGATATCTTGTTATAACACGGTTTGGATAAGTTGCATTCCATAAAAGTAAGTTTGATTCCTTTAGCCTTCCGATCTCGCCATAGTTTAAAGGCTTTCGCTGATGTTGAACTTGTAATTTTAAATCTCGCGTTTAAATGCTCAAATTTTTTTTTATTCACAGAGCCATCAACAGTGAGAATGAAAAGGCTAACCATGTAAAGAATCTGCTGACTGGAGAGTATGGAGCCGTGCCTGACACCGCAAGGGACTACAAGGTGAAAATTAGCCTTATTGATGAAACAAAAATGATACAATTTCCTTTTCTAGCGTTGGAAGCGGAGAATACCAAACTCTACGCACAGAGGGCATTAATCCTTTCTTTGTCTTTGAGTCGTAAAACTCCGCGTGGATCTCCCATGCCGGAAGGAGATCATCGAAAGTTTTGAGAAGATTCCCCAAGACGTTGTAGAATCTCAGTTTGTGATTGGATCGTGTCTTTTCTTCACCCATGATATGCTTAAACACTTGAATGATGATGAATTCTGATTTTATCGTTATGAAAATCTATAACTTTGCAAGGGCATTATAGATTCTTTTATTTCAAGTTTTTTGACGTAAGGATAGGCAGTTGAAGTGACAACTGTCGACACCAGTTTAACAATGATCTGTTAAAAGGCCGGAGGCGCGGCATTTTCGAGAAAATGGGCAAGGGAATAGGAAAAAGAGAAGACATTTCCTGTATAGTCTGCGCAGTCGGTGTTAGAACCTGAGTGATCAGAGAAGCTTTTATTTTCAGGACACTCCAAGCGACAAGGCACAGCAACTCGGCGCGGTGATAGGTCGTAGTGTAAATTTGTTGCGTGTGAAATGGAAGGTTTTTGTGAAAATCGTTGCCCATGATGCTGAATGACATACGAACTGAATTGAAGTGCCGAGTGAAAGTCGAACCGATTCAAACTGGTTTGATTGCATGTTGTAGATCTCAGCGTTAGACCGAGTCAATGCGACAATAACCGAAGCGAGTTGCGGTTCTGTGTTTGAGGATCTTTACATCCCTTTGTCGCCGTTCTGTAATGACTTTGTTTGACTTTTTCTTATGTAGTCAAAAGGAGTAAAATGGGTTGTAGTTGGAGATGAAAACTACGGTGAAGGAAGCAGCAGGGAACATGCTGCCCTAGAGCCAAGGCATCTTGGCGGACGAGCTATCATAGTCAAGAGCTTTGCTCGTATTCATGGTATGTTGTCGCGTGTTGTTAGTGTTTAGGATATTTAATCCGTTGCTGTGCTTACGTGCAAACAATCAGCCTTATTGATCTTTCTTGGCGTGTCTTTAAATAGCTTCCTTAAAGACAATAAACAAGCAATTGCCAAGCCTTTATCTTGCCATCTCTCCCCGTTACCAAATGGTACAAACAAAGATCGGTAGCAAGTTCCAAGGGAAAGAACTCTCAACTTTTGATTGCTGTCTACCTCTCAACAACGTCTGAGCCGTAGCTCCATATTAACCCTTAAACTCCCAAGATCTGATTGTTAATTCTCCCCTCTAGCTGCTACACATTTTCTTATAAATCCGTCATCAGAATTTAGTGTTAGATCAAGATAACAACTTCTACCTGATAAGTTGGATTTTTTCTCAATACCTGTTTGCTGGATAATGTATGGATATTATAGGGAGAAATTCCATGTTAATCACTTCTGGGAGTAAAAGGGTCAAAAAAACTCCTTTCATTGAGCTAACCACCTTCCCAACTAACTCATATGGTTCTCTTTCAGAAACAAATTTGAAGAAACAGGGTAAGATTTTTAGACTTTCTTTTTTAAAACGACTTTTAGATCAAAAGCGTCTTTGCGCATCCTTGATTGTTCGCAAACAAAATTGGGGTGAAAATTGAAGACAAAAATAATATTGATTTCCTTGTTATACAAGTGTAGTATAAGCGTATAAATTCCAAATGTGCCTTATTCGTGTTTCGTGGACTGGTAAAATGTTTTCCGCTTTGTTAACCATTCTTTCAGCTGACGCTCATTGAATATTACTTAAACTAGAAATTTACTCCTTTCACTCCAGCCATGCGCCAATTACTGTTCTTCGTTTTTGAATTCATTCGAATTATCAAGTTACTATTCACCCACTCTGTGGTAGTTGCATTTCTTTCATTAAAGGAGCAAAAGTTCCCGGCCGAAATTTCACTTATATTAACGCAGAAAATAAATAACGCAAAATTTTTGTGCTCTAGAGAATACGACGACCATTTGTACTGTATTTCATGTAAAAGCATTAAAGAGCATCTAGGCCTTTTTGGTGCTCCTTAAAGATCTTCTGACTAATATCTTGGTTATAACACAGTGCACGGTACGCCGTCAAAACTAACGTCTCCCCCGTGTTTCTCTCCACTTTTTTTACCTTTTTTTTTTTTGTTTTTTTTTTTGTAACAGGACTTCTCCCGTTGACGTTTGCTAATCCGTCAGATTATGACAAAGTTCAACCTGACGACAAGATATCTCTGCTTGGTTTGAACGACCTCGCACCTGGGAAGGTAAGTTGAATAGGTTATGTAATCTTTTTCATGAGCTTGTTTACTATTTAAAGCGTCATCTATCGTACCCAATAATTACTTGTACCTGTAATACCATTTAAGTAGATACGTGAATTATCGAGTGATTGCTTAATTCGCTTTTGTGACAATTGTTCCTCATTTTGCTCTGGACATTAATCGACTTCTCGTTCATAGAAAGATAGTTTTTGTGCGTAATTTCAAACAAGAGAAGAGGAGGAAGAGAAGCGCTTTCTGACGAGCTCTGGTCGTAAAGAAAAAGCCCCCGTTTTATTTATCTTTTGCGCACGCGTCAAACACGCAGTTAAGACAAAACCAAGGATGCACTCTGTAACGCTGATGAATGAAGATGATCTTAAGGAAATGAGTGACGTTCAAAACTTCCTTAAAACCGGAGAAACACGGAAATGCACGAAAGTCGCATTGAACGGAACATGATTAAATTAAGATTGAAAGATTACCATGAGGTACAAATTGATCAACATATCTCTCCCTTTCTTTCACTCTAAAGCCTGTGAAGACTGTGCTGAAACACACGGATGGAAGCCAAGATGAGATCCAGCTGAATCACACCATGAATGAGTCACAGCTTGAGTGGTTTCGAGCTGGCTCTGCACTCAATAGAATGGCCGAATTGTCAAAGTAGGCTCCGTCAAGAATGCGCTTCTGACTTACTAATTTCAAGATCGTCAGCTTTGTTTTGTAGCGCTTCGACGCGGAAATTATTGAATGCAGTGACTGACGAAATAATCAAGATCCTTTGGTGAATGTCATGTTAACATTGTGTTGGTTTTCAAGATAAAGCCAAAATCTGGTCAAAATCTTGGCAGTTTTCTGGATGATGTATTCAATGGATATTTTTTAACTCATTTGCTAGTTCGTTCCTAACAGAACTATCTTATTCCATGTAGAAATTAAAAACGTTGATTGAAATCAAATGTTATTAAAGAAAGAAACTTTTTGACGCTGGTCATGTTGTGCTTTTAATTTTCCCCCATTGTATGAAAATTTCTTTTGCGTCCTGTGATAGAATAAATATACAGAATAATGCTTTGATTTGAAAATACGTTTTTCAGTATAAATCGGGTGCTTTTAAAGATTTCAGAAAATTTTTTAAGGGAACGTTGGATTAAATGATAGAGTTCAGTTTAGTGAAGTTAAAGAAAAACCGATTTTTCGGCCTCTGAAGGTGGGAAGTAACCTTAAGATATATTTGTAAGGAAAAGCTTCGTGTGAAATGATTGGGAGATATTTGTCGTCTTCTGTAGTACTCCGAAACAAACGATAAGTAGCATCGGGAAACATCGGGTCAAAATAAGGTCCTGTTCGGAATTTTGTTGATACCATGACTCACTCACTCATTTCAAGGACATTTGTGGTTACGCCTTCAGTCTCTAAAACAACAATCACTTCAGACGCAAAATGGTTGTCTCGTACAGCTTTATCGTGGGCTCAAATCCCCCACGCTAATTGCAATTAAACGGAGCAGGGCGTGCAAGGCTCGTACATTTACCTTGGAAGCGTCCTCTTGACCAATTTGAACCTTCATTTGGAAAGTTTTATAGTCTGTGACAAATTACTGGAATTTATCCAAGCCAAGGTAGGTAATTCATACTTTTGAATAACTTACTATTGTATTTAAATGTAGAAAATAGCCCTTCTCAAGTTAATGTATCGAGTCACAAGGTATAGAATCAGGGCCTAATGAAGACAGTCGCGTGAGAACAACATTCTAATTGCAGCTTCGGAAACTCAGTGGCAGAAATATTTCTCCTGGTCTACATAACATTATTTATACAAGCAAACAAAAATCAAATTTAATTGTGATTTGATCGCTCGGTTTACGTGATATAAGCTCAATTGCGGTCAGAACCGTGGAGTACGGACTGGATGTCTAAGGTTGATTGAACTTTCATACAAACAAGTAAACCTTAACCAATACGATTAGTTGTACATAGTAAATAAAAGAGGCTATCCAAGCTTTACTGGAAGAAAAGAACTATCATGAAAAGAGATCTACCTCGATTTTTGAGAATAGTTTATCGTGGTTCATACAAACACTCTATAAAGCAACTCGGTCTCATCGTGGTCAATGTAGAACGCAGACTGTAGTTTTCAGACCGGGAGTAAAATGCAGACTGAGGGTGAAATGCTGACTGAAGACTGCATATCAGGGGTAAAATGCGGACTCCGTTTTAAAACAACCCGCATCCCCGGGAAAACTTCAAGAGTCAGTTGGGATCGAGGCCGCGTATGTCGTGAGGGGTTGGCAATAATCGTTACGGCGATTGATGTTTCGAACTTCACTTCCTCAGATGGTTTTGACGTTGAATTAGTGTTTTAAGGTAAGAACGATTAGAAACGTAAGTGTTTGAATACACAGTTCACAGCCAGTTAAATACATTTTCTTTGTTAAGGAATAAACAGTTCTGCTGAGCAACACTAGATAGCTTTAACATACATGTAGCTCGTGTATACTTTGTTTGGCCTTGAAAGTAGTAGCGATAGACTTTCATCGCACATCAGCAATTTTTATTACTTGGACAATAACAACCTGTTTCTCGTACCTTTGTTTTGCGCTGCGAAGTTAGGCGTGCAAATTCTTTAAATTTAATGCATATTTGTGGGTGCGAGATTAGGATCTAATTAACACCTCCAAACATTATCCTAAGGTGTTTGCCTTTCTTATTCCGCTCGGTGTTTCACTTCAGTATTGACCGGAGGTAATTATGTAGCTACCATGGTTAACTTAACCTGTGTCGGGCTTCTTGTTGGCCGACAAGGGATGCCAAAGAAATTTAGTTTTGTTTTGACATGTCTTTATTCACTGGAAAAATGGCAGAGTCTTCCTTAAATTGAAACAAATTAGTAGCAAGGAGAAGTCTTAGGTTCCTTTTAAGTCTAATCATTTAGAGAAACCAGAAATGTTCACAAATTTCAACTAAAGAACCGAGTCTGCAATTTTGAATTAATTTTTTTAATTAAAAGAAAACTCAACTCTATGTCAGCATGTAGAGTGGTATGTTGCTCACACCAATCAGATCGCTGCATTTGGGTATGTATCTCACACCAATCAGATTTCAGCATTAGGGTATGTATCTTGCACCAGTCAGATTGTGTCATTAGGGTATGTGTCTCGCACCAATCATATCACAGCATTTGGATATCTTGCGCCATCTCAGCATTTGGGTATTGTTGTCATGCAAATAATGTTGTGTAATCAGGGGGCTGTACACAAAGATTGACATTAACCAGAAATTTTGGGCTCATTTGATAAGTGTAATGGTTTGTGGCCTTTGTGAGAGCCTTTTCGATTGAGATCGATATCAAAGGTTTTGCATTTAACCTTTTTGTTTCATTTTTAAGTTAAATGTGTCATCTTGGACTGCACATAATTACGTGTTAATTCCTTGTAAACAACATGCATTTTAGCACGTATTTCACACTCAGAGAGTAAAGTTCAGATTGGCAACAACCAATCAAGGAGCCCTCTTTGAAATGTTATCGTTTTCTCTTGTTCAGTGTACTTTCACTTATTCGAGATTGCAATATATCTTTGGTTCGGGTCTATTGCAGATACAACAGAGTTTCAGTTTGCTTTTTGTGGTAAAATTAATTGTAATTATAGTTTTGTGGCAACTAACTTTAGATGAATAATTTTGATTTTCTCTCTGTTAGAGGAACAGTAGTAACCATAGTCTCTTTTGCAACTGCCATTTGGTCTTGTCACACAACGCTTTCTCTTAAGGGTGGAGTAATGCAATATTTTTGTCCGTTTGAAAGTTATGGTCTTTTTCTGTTACAAAAATGAAAACATTAGGTGCACAAAGTGTCCCATCTCAACCTGCCCAGCTAGAAAAAAAACTCTTGCATGTTACACATGTCTATGTTACCCTGGTTTGCAGTCTTCAATCTGCATTCTTCCCTCAGTCTGCCTTTTACGCCCAGTCTGCAGTCTGCATTTTACACTGATGGTTCTTGTCATTCATGCCTCTCAGGTGTAATGGTTGTGGCAGTTTCAAGATGTATGTTTTTTTCCAATGACTTTTTATTATCCTTGTGTTACTTTTCTCTGGGAAAAAATGTTTATTATTTCGCCCTTTACACTCTTGCATCAGTTTGCTTGTAAGGTACTGTCAAGGGGAATTTGTTTAACACTCAAGAGTATCTTTGGTTAGTGATCATTTCCTTTGCTCTTGTGACCTTAATGTGTGATTAACGGATCATATTGCAGGAAGAAACAAGATACTATTCACACTTAGGGGTTACATGGTTCATGTTTTGTGAGAAAAATTTTTATCTAAATCTGTAATTTTACTATCCCTGGTGAAAGAATTCTAAATAAAAAATAAAATTGAATTGTGGGTTTTAATTAGTGATCTATTCTTTAAACAGGGTTTTCAAACATGAATGCTTCAAGTGAAAGGTTTTTTGAATGTCCTTCCTGTGACAAGAGATTTGCATCACAAGCAAAGCAAAAGCAACATTTAATTACGCACACTGGGGAAAGGCCTTTCAGCTGTTCTTTCTGTGACAAGACTTTTCAACATTCTTGGACCCTTAAGCAACATGAAGCAATACATGGCAACAAGAAGCCCCACAAGTGTACGATGTGTGATAAGAGTTTCTACACTGCTTTTAAATTAAAGATGCACCTTCGAGTGCATAGTGATGAGAGGCCATACATTTGTAACCAGTGTGACAAGAGCTTCCGTTGGTGGAATTCATGGAAAGTACATCAAAAATGGCATGACGGGTTGAAGCCTCACAAATGTTCATCATGTGACTACAAAACTTTGTATAAATCACATCTTGTGGAACACAGAAGACTTCATACTGGTGAGAAGCCTCACAAATGTTCTCACTGTGATAAAGAGTTCCGCACCAAAGCATCACTTCTCTTTCATATAAGAATACATAGTGGTGAAAAGCCTTACAGTTGTCCTCACTGCGAACGACGATTTTCTCAATGGTCAACACTAAGAGGTCACATTAGTACACATACTGGTGAGAAGTTATATCAATGCTCAATTTGTGATAAGGAATTCAAAAGCAAAAAATGTGCTTATAAACACTATGCTGTAGTGCACAAGAATGAGATATCTAGCTCTGGGAAAAGCTACAGCTGTAGTCAGTGTAAAAAGGTTTTCATTGACTTGGCTGGTGTTGAAACTACAATCCGACCTACTGAACCTGTACAGCAATCTGATGCTGGTGAAAACTTTGGACTAGTATCAGATTCCAGTCATGCAAATGTGTCAAGCACTGGTGTGAAGTATTTTAAATGTGATGTTTGTAGCACATGGAACAACTCAAATCAGGTTGGTCTAAAGTTGTCTCATCACTCATCACACCCTAAAATCAAAGTGAAGAAAAGGCAGTTTTCTGAAAAGACCTTTAAGGGTGAAGAATTTTCTGGACAATCATCAGCTGACAAACCATCATTTCTCCCTAACAAGAAGGATTTCAGTAACAAGTGTTCTAAACAACCAAAAGTTGTAAGGACTCAGATTTCGCTGAATAATGAAAAACAGAAAATTAATTGTCATATTTGTAACAAGCAGTTCAAGAAGGAGAGTCTTCTCGTAAGCCACTTGAAAACACACACATGTGGCAAGTGTGGTGACGTGTTTGAAAATGAGGACAATTTAAGGATGCACAGGAAAACCCACAGGGATGAAAAATGCTTTAAGTGCGATTTTTGTGAGAAGAAGTTTAAGGATAAAGGACATTGTAATAGACACATGTGGATCCACGCTGAAAGCAAACCTCATAACTGCTCTGAGTGCAGAAAGTCTTTTGCTGATATAAGTCAACTGCAGAGGCATAAAAAATGTCACCTAGAGAAACGTTTTCATTGCAACGATTGTGGTAAGTGGTACAGATGGGAATTCTACTTTAAAAAACATAGATGTAAGAAAAGAAAGGAAGGTCAGAACTCTTTCATGTGTGACAATTGTGGTAAATCTTTTGATAAAGCGGCTTCTCTTAAAACTCACAAAAGTTCTCCATGTCAAAAGCAGCTAAAAGTTGATACAAGTGCCCTTAGTGTTGAGGTGGTTACCTTGGTTTAAGTGAATTTATTACACAAGATAGTGAATAAAAAAAGTTAACGTTTTATTAACACTTTTTGTTACAAGGAAATTGTGAAATTAAGGGTCTACATAATAATGATAAGTAATTTTAGCAAATGTTAAGAAAAAGAAATACGCAATTTTAATTGATTCAATGTTTCGATGTAGCAGCTTACATCATAGAAATTTTCAGTTTCAGATTTGCATAACCCATGCTGTTGTACAATACTTAAGGATTTTTGATTGAAGGGAATTCATTTGACCAATTAAATTCTTAAGAATGGCCAGCATCTAATTCCTCCTTACAGTAAAACTTAATCATACATTAAGACCATTAGAACAAGGGAAACGATCTCCAACCTAAGAAGCTGGGATAGCGAAACAAATTCTCTTTGTCAATACAAAAGAAAATGTATATAAAAGGGTATGAAGAATATGGCCACTAATGTTAGACTGTGAAGTGTTCAATGAACTGTTTGATTCAGATTGTAACACTTTTCACATAGAATGATGGGGCCTAATTCTTTTACCCTTTCCACCCTAACATCAGTATGCATATACCTCATGAAGCTTTTGAACTGTTCAGTGTAGTATATCAATTTAGTTGGTTAGAAATCAAAATGTTGTTATTTGGTGTTTTTTTTCCTATTAATATATTTTTATAAAATTAAAGTCTTTATATTGATTGTTTTAGCGTAGAATTTTTCTAGTTTCGCAAATTTAGTCTAATAATGAATCTAATCTAATATGTTCTAGTAAGTAAAGCAAACATCTTGATACTTCTGCACCTCATGCCCGCTCTGGCTCTCAAAAAGCCTCATTTTTTCGTTTTGACTGTCTTTTGTCGCATTTTCTGACTCTATTGCCGACATTGTCTAAAAGCTACGAACTTTGTAATTCCACTCCAGGCAATATTTTTCCTTGCGTGGGATCAAATCGGGAAATCCGAGAGGGGCGGCTATCTGGTGGCTAATCAAAACACAGGACTCGCTTAATCTTGCCAATAAGTGCTGCCCGCCATATGATAAATACCCTTTCAGTTAAAACTCACAGACTGGGCTTCTGTGTAGGCGAGGCACGATGGCGAAAATGATGATACCCTGAGGTACCTCCAGTGCTGCTTTCCAGGTAAGCTGGTCAATCCGGTGTAACGCGTCCTATTTTCTCGTCTCCTTGGCACACAGGCCACTCACAAGAGTCTCCGTAATCTGCATCTCTTTCACTAAGTTTGTTTAAAAGATGGCGTTTCTTACCTTAGTTCCGTTTTTATCTGTTCCATCTTTCCGAGCTTGCAAATACAACTGCGGAGCGATGAATTTAGAGATGCCTCCTTTCTAAATGTAACTGAAGTCTTTTGAGAGTGATTCTCTACAATGTCGCAAAGCTATTGTTTTAAGAGTATTTTCTCTTCTTTACTCAGCCTCTGAAGAAATCACTTTAAAAAAATATTTGGGCGTTGTTGACTGCTTCTTCTAGTTTTTTTTTTTTTTATCTGGCAATTAGTCTACAATAGCCTTGATGAATTTACACCAAACTTATACCAACCTCGTTTTCAAAGTTTTTAATATTTGCAAGGATGAATTTGCACGTGCGGAAACCTTTTCAACTAATTTCCATTTTACGAATCCTCGTGGTCTGAACTGTATCACTCGTAAGGAAAAAAAGGCCAAGGAAACTCGTAAGCTTATTAAGCTTAGTGTCTAAAGTGGCTGAGGGGCTGTGAAAACCGTCAACTGACATGGAAAACAGAACACACGGTGAGAGAACAGGTTCTTCAGTTCTAATATGGCGCACTTAGTGAAGTTAGGAGAATTCCAAATCAACAGAGGAAAAGTTTCGAAGAAGCTCTCGAAAAGCACCGATACCACACTCGTATCAAGGGAACGATAGAAATTAGCAGAGAACAGCTTTATGGCACCTTAAGCCATTGATTGTAACATGCCACAGTCCACCAGCAGCTGGGTAAACATGAACATTCTTTGCTTTGCGAACAAAAAATTCAAATCGACTTGAAAATTGTAAAACAGTTAAAGGTAAAATTTCCGCACAGCCCCATACTATTGTAAAACAAATCTGTTTTCCCAATGGCAATGTATTGTTTTGTCATTGTTTTCTCTATCCAAGAACTGAAGGCATAATGTAGTATGGGGCTGTGCGGAAATTTTACCCAGATAAAGAATAATTCTTGCTAAAGAGGCATTAACGAAATACGAAACAAATTTTGTCTTAGACTAAGGAATATCAGAAATGTTTAAGCGTGTAGACTTCCGATTTAAATATTTAACGCATTAACTATTTCACTATTCTATCGAATTCTAAAGCAGTCTTTATTTTTACTCTCACAGATACGCTTAGTCGATGGAAGTATTCATAAAAAGCATTAGCACGGATGAAAACGAAACGAAATCTGCCAAGGTAACTGCTTTAAAAATAGTCTCATGAAGTGTACATGTGGCTAACCGACCCGCGTTAATCCCACGTTTATGGGTTAAGCCAAAATAGCAGAAACGTCACAAGTCGGCTTTTGTCAGTCAGTTGCAAGTTTTCAAAGTGATCTCGTATGAGGAACCATCAGGCCAGCGTCTTGAACAGCTCTGAGTGTTTTAAGAATCAGAAGGAAAAAACATAATAATTGGAAAAAAATTGTTGGTATAAAGATTTCAGCACAGCCCCATACTATTGTAAAACAAATTAAATCCGTAGTCCCAAAGGCAATCTACTGTTTTTGTCTATTATTTTCTTTATGAAAGAAATGCACGATGAAAATATGAGGCTGTGCGAACATTTTACTAAAGGATTTTCAAGAGTTATTTCGTTTATAACATATTTCGTTCCACATCGCCAGAAAAGAAGAATCATACAAATTACCTAAAACAATTCTAATTTTTCAATATCCATCAAGTCCAATTATAATCAAACTAATTAGGCAAACTTTTACGAGCGAACTTAATGCAAATATTTGTTTTGGTAAAATTTCGCACAGGCCCATACTATTGTAAAACAAATCTGTTTTCCCAATGGCAATCTATTGTTTTTGTCATTGTTTTCTCTATCCAAGAACTGAATGCATAATGTAGTATGGGGCTGTGCGGAGATTTTACCTTTGTTTTTTTTCACTAGTTGACTTTCTGTCGCGAAGATTTATCATCAACAAAGAATGATCGGAATGTAACCAAACGTTTCGCGCACTTTGGAAAGAACTGTTGTAACTCTTATTAAAAGCTTCTCTTTTCGTCCCCGGATAAAATTTATTCATAGCTTTTTGCAAGGTGAAAAAAAATCTGAGCGGAGAAATTTCGCAAACAGCTAAGGCTTTCTAAGTTTTACGAGTTTTATGAGTACTTCAAAAATTATCACTAAAACGACAGCTAGTGATTACTTCTTCGTTTTTCCAAAACTTTGAATTTTCATGATATTTGACTTTCTTTATCTATGCTGACAACTATCTGGTGGTGTTTGCTTAATTTGATATTTGAGCTTTTCTTAATTCTAAAATGTGGTGATGTTAAACCGTACTTTGCATTTCTTACTCATAAATTAATCAGCGACGTTAACGGCCAATAGTCAAAAAAGTAGCTCGCTCGTTTCAAGTTTATTGAGTTTAATAATTATAATGTCCTTATTCTATAATTTTTCAACTGTTGTGTAATACTATCAATTTTTTTTTCGCAATTGAAACACATTTCCATATGTTTTTTTTTAACGAGAATAAAGGAAATTATCACCAACTTAAAAGCTCTCGATTGTTAAAAGATTCTCAGCACCTCAAGAAATACATGGAGAACAATATGTAGGATATGCATAGTGATGTTGAGGTGTAAAGGATTAAGGTCTTCATAACTGTGATTTCTTACGCAAGTTAAGTTTCGTATGGTCGGTTTTAACTTGTTCGGTTGTCTTATTCTACAGTTCCTTTAATATCCCTTGTGGTGCTGTAGACCACGAGCATGGAGAGGGATCCAGAGGGATCCAGAGGGATCCAGAGGGAGAGAGGAGAGAGATTCAAACTGAAGAAAACTTAGTTCAGGAAACTCAGATGGGAATATACTTTGGAGGTAAAAGTAATTTGGTGTCGCCAACAGAAAACAACGTGCAAACAAACGAATTCCTTGGAAAAAATTAGAATTTGTTGTAAAAACTAAACAAAATCTAAGGTACATGGAGGTTTTAGTTAGGATCAGGTCTGGTGGATTTGAACCAATTCTCTCTGTAAATACAATGTCAAATTTGAACTTATTCTGGCTTGATTTTTGAAAAAGCCTCTAGGAAGGTGTCCTCCGGACAATTATCTTTAGTCGCGGTATTTAGACATTGGCTAATTTTGCAAATTTTAGATCGTTCATCTATCTTTAACTGATAAAAAATGTTCAAATAGATGTAATTAATCTGGTAAGTAATAGAATTTAGTTAGTTTTTGCCAATAAGATTATAAATCTTTTATTCCCCTTCAGACTATTTTCGACTTTGGCTTAGTAGTTGCCCACATTTTCAGGCTTGTTTAGTTATCGCGTTGCAAAACTTCTTGTACTCAAAGAATTGTATTAAGTAAATAAACTTGCAATAAAATAAACACTTTATTTCAAGTATTGTCTCCTTCTCTTTATTATTTTTTATTGAGTGTACTAATATAAAAAAAATCGCGCTTTTAAAAACAAACAAGTAAAAATATAGGCTCTCTTTTACATTTTTTTGCGTATGGAGGGTTGCCGAGAGGGAAAAAATTCTGCATATTTGAACAGCATCTAGCATTAAAACAAAAAATATACTTGACTTTTGATGGGAGAAAATCGTTAGCATTGAGCAAGATTTTTCCCGCCAAAAGACATATATTTTTGGATCAACATTAGACACCATTCAAAGAGCAGACTTTTTTTTCCATGGTCAAATTTTTCCAACAGACATTCCAACAAAATTCTTAAGACCTGAAACTTGTTTTTGGACTCGTGACAGACCCATTTGAAAGCAAAGCTTTTTAAACATCAGATCGGTTACAATTATCTATTTTCCGTACGTGCATTTGCAGTTTAACTAGCGTCTTCGCGATAAGTTTGGTAAACTTTATTCAGAAAAATATATTTCTTGAATCAACTGGTAACTCCTTTCCTTGAATCTGCTTCAAACCTTAAAAAAAAATAATAATTTTTTGTGAGAATCTTCTGCACGCTGACAATGCTATTTTAACTTGTTCTCACTTGCAGTATTTATTGTAACCTCCTCCCTTAGTTTTAATTTCCGCAAGTATCAAGTTGAGACGAAAATATTGTACACGCCCAGACAAGTAAATTTAAGTTGTATGCATGGGAAGAATTTCCCTTACGGGTAAAATATGATATTCAAGCGGGGCAGATCTCCGCAATATACAGTCTAACAAGATCTGATGATAAATAAGGTGACCTATATTATATGAATTTTATTGACCTTCATCCTGTATCGATGGAGTGATGAAGCATTAATTCTTTCAGGACAAATGTTAATGAA